TATTGTTTTCAGAATGAATATATTTAAATGTATCTATCTAGGATGGTAAAATACTACTAGTATGAACACTAAAAGATGGGACCACACAGCATCTCTACTACCAGATGGAAATATTCTAATTGTTGGTAGACATACGTATACCAGTCCTACGAGTACAGTTGAACTATACAATCCGTCAACAGAAACTTGAACATATACAACTCCTATGAATTATGCACGACGTGCACACACAGCGACTGTTTTAAAAAATAGTAAAATTTTAATGACTGATGGGATTGGTAATGATGATTTTTTTAAATAGTGCTGAGTTATATGATCCGTCAACAAGGACTTGGTCAATTATTGATAGAATGAGTTCTACACGATATGGACACACCGCATCACTCTTAACAAATGAAAAAATATTAGTTACTGGTGGATATCATCATAATATGACAAATACAGTTGAATTATATGATCCATCAACAGAAGATTGGACAACTTTTGAAAGGATGAATTATGTACGATATTATCACACAGCATCCGTATTATCAAATGGAAAAGTGTTAGTTACTGGTGGATTTACTAGTGAAGATTTGAATTCGAATGCTGCAGAATTATATTAATTATTTAAAATAAATAAAAAATATAATTGACTTTTCATCTCTTATAAGACGAATGCCATCCTCAAGTTTTATTCATAAAATCTAATTGTCTAATTTAATGATGATGAATTGTTTCTGTAGAAACATTTTTCAGCCAGAGTATCTATAAAAAGAACAATTTAATAATAGAAAATTGTTTCTTTCACTGTAGTTTTGATGATTAAGGCTCCTCCCATCCAAAAGTTAATTTTCGTCAAATTTTTCGACTTTTTGATTTATAGCGCGTTAGATAGAACAATGTATGGGTTATCAGACACACTATAGTTTGTTCACTCTCAGATGAGATTTAAGGAGATGACATGGATTTTTTGGCACCATCATATTCAAACATATAAGTTTTTTTCTAATAGTTTTCTCGAGTTTCAGTTTTGAAAACCAAGTTCCATCACAAAAACCACTCAATTTGACAAGTTTTATTACAAGATATGAAACTTAAGTTTAAATTACCAAAAAGTTGAGCGGCCATTTTTGAGCGTGTGGGTGTGCGTGAGTGTGGGCGAGGATCTTCTCTTAAGTAACACCGACTCCACATCCACACCCGCACCCAGACGCCCTAACCGATTATGACTTTTGATCTTCCATAGTTGGGAATTTATGTTCACATTACTCATATTTGCGGATACAAAATAAATACGAAGTATTTCACATCGATAAGAAAAGGATAAATGACATGGCGTGTTCTTTTTCATTTCTTTTTTTTCGGAAAAATCTAGATTTAAGTTTCGAAAGAAAACATAATCACGCTTTTTTTTGTTTAAAATACCAGTTAATTAAGATTTTTGCGAAATAGCTTCACTTATCAATAATCGAAATTTACTGGCATTTTTCTGGGAATAGCAAAACAAATGTTGACATTTTCTTATAAAAATAAAAATAAAAATAGTATACACA